TTGTGCTATGTAGATTTTTGTGAGCTTGATAATAGCTAGAGTCATACAGGAAGAGGGAACTTGAGTTGAGGGGTCACCTCCGTCTGATTGCCTGTAGGCAAATCTGTGGGTAGATTCTTGATTAATGATTGATGTGGGAAAGCCCAACCAACTGTGGGCACTGCCACTCCCAGGCAGCCGGTCCTGGATGGTATAAGAGAGCTGAACATGTGAGCCTGGGAGCAAGCCAGTGAGCATACTTGTCCATGGTTTCTACTTTAGTTTCTGCCCTAACCTCCATTCATGATTGACCACAAACTGCGAGATGAAATAAACCACTTCTTCTCTGAGGTGTTTTGGTCATGTTTATACAGCAACAACAACAAAAAAAAAGACAAATCTTGTTTTTCAAACTCAGAGTCCCATGCATGCTAGGCAAGAAATCTACCATTGAGCTACACCCAGTCTAGGGAATTTTAAATCAATTTTGAAAAACAGCCAAGAGTCTACCTATGTTAATCACCAGTCCCAGCAGTTCTAAGAGATAAGGCACTTCACTACAAAATTTCTTTTTTAGATTTTACTGGGTGGTTTTGTGCATCAACTTGACACAAACTAGAGTCATCAGAGGAAGGAGCCTCAGCTGAGGAAATGCCTCCATGAGATCCAGCTGTAAGGCATTTTCTCAATTTGTGATCAATGGGTGAGGGCCCAGCCCATTGTGGGTGGTGCCATTCCTGGGCTGGGGGTCCTGGATTCTAGAAGAAGGTGGGCTGAGCAAGTCATGGAGGAGCAAGCCAGTAAGCAGCTCCCCTCCATGGCCTCTGTGTCATCTCCTGCCTCCAGATTCCTGCCCTGTTTGAGTTCCTTTCCTGATTTCCTTCAGTGATAAACAGAAATGAGGAAGTGTAAGCCTTTAAATAAACCCTTTCCTCCCCAACTTGTTCCTTGGTCATGGTGTTTTGTCACAGCAATTGAAACCCTAACTAAGACACAGGTTCTAAGTTCCTGACATGCTTCTTCATGAGTTTTTTTATATAAATTGGCAAAATATACCTAACATGACACTGAACATTTTTAAGTGCTCAGTGAAATGAAGAACCACCAAAAACAGAATGTCAATAAATTAAGTGCTAAGACCTAATTTGCTTTGTTAATGATTCATGAATCAGACAACATTCAGTTTACAAAGTAAAGAAGGGCTCCACCAGGGTGGCAAACAAAGTCAGCCAAAGCAGGAACCAGGAAACCACACAAGAAGCAGAGGATCAACATCAGGCTACTGTGGGTTGTGTTGTCCCTCTGATGGGTCAAGGTTGGGGAAAATTGCAGATTGTGCCATCGCAGGTTGGCCAGGTCTCTATTCCTTGGCTGCTGTGTATCTCTTGTATTCTAGAAAACTGGCCTGTGGTAATAATAATAATTTCCTTAGCACCCATCCTGAGGAGTGGATCTACCAGTTTGGTTGGCCCTCTGGGACTTAGTGTAGAAGTTGAAGCAGACCCAGTGGTCTGCATTAACTTTAACAGTGTTTTCATGTTGTCATGCAGCCATCACCACGACCCTTCTCCAGAGTTCCACACATCTTAAAGCACAAACAATGGAGTCATTACCTAACAGTTCCACTTCACTTTCTGTCTCTATAAAACTTGATGACTGTGTGACCCCATGGAAGGGAAATCATACAGTGTCCGTCTTTCTGTGACTGGCTCATTCCACTATCATGTTTTTCAGATATGCCGATGCTGGAGCATGTCAGAATTCCCTTCCTTTTTAAGACTGAATGGTATGCCTTTGTGTATATACAGCATTGTTGTTGGGTTTTTTTACTCTTTTGGTGGGCCCACCACCCAGCTCCCAAATAAATCACACACGGAGCCTTATTCATAATTATGAATGCCCAGCTTAGTTTATAGCCAGCATTCCTTACCTTAAATTACCCCATCTACCTATTTCCTCTGGGCTTTTTTCATTCTCTTACTTCTATACCTTACTCTTACTCCATGGCTTGCTGTGTGTGTAACTGGATGGCTGGCTCCTGGTGTCCTCCTCCTTCTCTGGCTGCTAAATCTTAGATCTCCCCTCCCAGTTTTCTCCTTCTATATATACTCTCTGCCTGCCAGCCCTGCCTATTCTTTCTCCTGCCTTGCTATTGGCCAGTTTAGACCATCAGGTCTTTTACACAGGCACAGTAACACAGCTTCACAGAGTTAAACAAATGCAACATTACAAAAGTAACATACCTTAAAATAATATTCTACTACACAGCATCTTTCTTGTTTTTTTTGTTGTCCTTCTGCTAAGGGTACTTGGTACCGCTGTGAAGATGGCTGGACATTTATGTATCCAAGGCTGTTTGATTCTTTTGAATATATACCTGGGAACAGAATTCTTGGTGATAATTCTATTTGCAATTTGTGAAGGAATAACCATCATAATCTCCTACTATTCTCCACTGTGGTTGTAATATGTGAGGTTACAGTTTCTCCAAATCCATGCCAACACTTGATATTTTCTGTTGAGTCATTGTTGTTGGATGATATCTCCTTATGGTTTTTATTTATAGTTCATCTAGGATTAATAGTATTGAGCATTTTTCCGTGTATTTATTGCACATTTGTGTGTCCTCACTGAAGAATTATCTATACAAGTCTTTACCATTTTTATCACATTGTTGTTTCAAGTTTTAATAGTATCTATGCATGCTTCAAGTTAGCCTGTTTTTATTACATATCCTTTAATAAATATTGCATTTCAAAGCAGTTAATTTAGAGAACTCCAGACTCAAATATCCAAGTGAATTGAGAGAAGAAACATAAAATTTAGTAGACTAGATTATTTCCTGTGCATTTTCTTTCTCTAACTATTAGGTAACAACATATTCCTGCATTTAATTAATATATTATAATTAAAGAGGGATAGCATATTACTTATGAAAATAAGGAAACAGATTTTCAATTCTGTCATTTTTTGTGGCCACCTGTAGTTATGTTAAAGACAGTAAAATAGTATGTTGAGTACATTGTTTTTAATTTAACAAATGCAAATTTCAGTTTATGCATTAAACATTTTACTGAATTTGAATAACATCTTTAAATTTAAATTTTTTAAATTAATAACAATGAGTCAAGAAAATAAAGCCTAATATTATGAATTGTTGCCTATGTGAGATTTGGATGTTTGGGACCAGAATTTGCTTAATATTATTGATTCTTTTGGCATAATTGGCAGACTCAAAGAAATAAAGTTTCTAATGTCTATATTTCTTTTGTGACTTCTATTATTGTGTATTTTTAATACTATCATTGAAAATGAATTTATTCACAGAGAATTAGTTAAATGTTTTACTGTGGGTGTCCCACACATGAGGGGTGCCATGCCTATGTCTATAACCTTTACAATATTAGGGGTGGCAATGGGTGACTCTGATACAGTCTGTACAAAGCTGACCTTGTAATAGAACCACAGGTTATGAGGGTCCAAAATGTTACACCCAGAAATACCTTTGACATGATTGAAATCATCATTTTACCAAAGTGACGTTTTAATACATTTAAGAAATAGTAAAATGATGAGACAGAAGGTGTAGGCCCAAGAAGCAGCTGAACACACAGCTGTTTGTGTCGTAACAGTCTTGTCGCAAATGCTCACACTGATTTCCGCCATGGTCTTGTGTGATCCGTGATGGTAACACACAAAGTGTGATGATTGGACCAGTCATCAGAACCTGACCTAACAGCATCACTCAGCCCATCCACTGTGACTTGGAAGCCAGGACAACTGACCATCTGTTTGGAAGTGGCATGTGTCTGGATAGAACATTCCTGGTGGAGGCAATGTTCCAGTTTTTGAATGATGAGCTGAGAAATGGCTAAGGCTGCCAGAGTCAATTTTCCCTATCCTTTTAGTTGGCTCTGAGGGGTGAAAATGTCAGTGTTTCCATAAATCCAAACTGCCTCCGGGACCCATCCAAATTGGCCACTGCCCTTTCTAAAGCTCCACAGAAGTTTTCCTGCCAAGGCCTTCTTTCCTTTTCTTTTTAAAATGAAATGTGAGTGTATAGTTGATTTCTTTCAGAAGTCATGAGGTAGAACAGAGCAGGTCCATGCACTGTTTAGAGGAAAGTGGATCTTCTTTGACAAATAAGATGGTGAGGGACCCAGTCCATTTTAAATTTTGTGCTGAGGTACAACATACAACAGAACTCATGCATAAATGCCAGGTGAGCAGCCTGATAAATGTCACAGAATGAACAGCATTGTCACCAATGCCAGATCAAAAGGAACATTAGTGACATGCTGGCAAAGCTTTGATGTCCTTCTAGTTATGAGCTCCTTGTCAGGATAAAAAAGGATTGTCCTCACTCTTTCATCAAGATGATTGATGCCTGTGCTGGATTTCATCTAATTTTGCCATGCTTGTCTTTATAGGTCTGGTTCTTTAAACATACAATTCTGAGTTTAAGAATTATTCATTTTACTGTTAATGCTCACTAGTTTCCAGTGTTACATAATATGCTACTATAAAAATAGACACAGAGCTTGCAGTTTGTTATTAATGGGCATTTAGGACTTAAGTTTTTATCAATTCTTCGAGAATTTCATGCAATATATTTTGATTATATTCACCCCTAACTCCTCCCAGATCTACCACCACGACCCTCCCTTTCCCACCTTTGTGTCTTCTTATTTTAAAGGTTTATTTATGTATATGAGTGTTCAGGCTGCTTGTATACCTGCATGCCAGAATAGAGCACCAGATCTCATTATAGATGGCTGTGAGCCACCATGTGGTTGCTGGGAATGGAACTCAGGACCTCTGGAAGAGCAGCCAGTGCCATTAACAGCTGACCATCTCTCCAGCCCCATGTCTTCTTTTTTTAATAACTCATTATATACTCTATCCATGCACTCATAGGTGTGGAGCCGTCCACTTGAGTGTGGTCAACTACCAGGGGCTCCACCTTTAAAGAAAACTGACTCTCCTTCCCCAGAGACTACAAACTGTCTATAGCTTCTCAGGTAGTGGTGGGGTGCTGCGGGCTGCAGGAATATATCATAAGAACTCAGCTGGTTATGGCAAAGTCACTACCAGGAGGAATCAGAAAATTCCTCCAGAGGAAATCAAATCCCAAGGAGTTTTTGGTGTTACTTGGCTTGTTATATATCAGCTGTATTCTGTTATGAAAATCATGTGTGCCTTCACAGTTTTCCCAATTGACTTTTCCCTAAGAAGGGCTAGCAGTGTGGACTGATCACTCTCTGAACATACACATTCCAGGTATTTGGAGAACAGTCTCAGGAAAGGCTTTCTCTGAAATAAGATTATCTCCCTTGGCCACTTTCAAGGACTACAGGAAACACCACCCAGGTGGGCGCCCAACTTCTGAGGACAACAATGATAACAGGCCACCTGCAAGTCTCCCGACTTAAATTCCACAAGGAGACACCACCCAGGGGGGCGCCCAACTTCCGATGACTAACAATGATAGCTGCCCAAAAGCAAGTCTCCTGACTTAAGGTAAATTCCACAAGGAGACACCACCTAGGAGAGGTGGACGTTAAGTGATAGCTTAACACAATTTAGCTCGGACCCTCCCTTTATATACCAGGACTTCCAGGGCACAAAAGACAGAGAAGAAAAAAGAGAATGGAAGAACTAGATGGGTAAGAACTTGAGAAGAACAAACTGAGACAGGGAAGAACTAGAGTGAAGGTACTAGAGGAACAAGATGGAAGATGAGGAAAAGTCAGATGGGAAAGCTCTAGCTGGGTAAGAACAAGGTGAAAAGGACCTAGATGAGGCAGAATTAAGATGAGAGAATTAAGATAAAACTTAAGAGGGAACAGTAGATAAACAGAGAGAAATCAGGCAAGAAAGTGATAGACCCCATACCCAGGGTACTACCTTCTCAGGTGGGCACCCCAAGAACCCAGACTCTGGTCCAGTTGATGCAAACAGCAAGAGGTTTATTGATGTGGCTGTACAGTCGGGCCACTCTTGTCCTGAGAGCAAGAGTTGCACCTACTGCAGCCACATAGGTACTTGTAAAGGAAAAAACCCACAAAAGCCATAAGATTACTATTCCCATACAACTTCGTTTCAATTGATTTATGTCTAGAGGCTAATTTCACAAGATCATGGCCTGATCACAGGGTGGGTACAACCACGTCCGCATGTAATTCTTCCTGAAACCTCAAGGCGGGTATCAGGGTGGGAGTGAAGGTTACACAAAGGTTACAGTGATCTTTCCTGGAACACTTGCAACTATCCCAGTCACAGTTGAGCACATCTCTTAACAGAAATCTCTTTACATTGTTACATTGTGGCAGGGGTGGTTGAGTAATGGCTGAGTCAGTTTGCCCTTGGAACTAGCTTTTTAGTTGTTCATTCTCCTGGGGCTTGGGGGGTGTAAGCCTGAAGGGTTAGGGTCTTTCAAAAGGAGCTAGGCATGAGAACAGAACTGAAGCAGTGTATATGTGGACATTATGCCAGAGGAATTAAAGCCAGTGGAGCTTGGTGTGCTGAGATTCTATTTCCTGAAAATAGTCCTCGCCTTTAGTAGTTCTCTGTCCTGAGCCCCTGGGATGTATAATATTAAGGCTGGTCCCGCTAATATTATACAAGAATGGGGGACTCATGAACTCTTTCCTACTCCATGCTAGAATGTTGACTAGCTTTGATTGTGCGTAGGCAACCACAGCTGCTGTGCGATGATGAGTGTAGTGGTCCTGGGCATAAGTGATGCTTCTATGGACATTTCTGTTCATGGTTCTGGAATCAGATATCTGAATGGTAACTAGGTGACAGAAGTAAAATTGCTAGGTCCTATGATGTGGTATATCCACCTTCATAGTGTTTACTAGAATTACATTATAGTTTGCATTTCCCTGGTGACTAATACAATGAAGAGTCATGTGCTTATTGGAATTTCAGAAGTTCTATTTGGTTAAGTAATGAAATAATTCAGTTCTTTGGCTGACTTTCCTTTTGGGTTCTCTGAATTTTTTGTCTTGCTCTTTATAGTAAGGAACAAGAGATTAGAAAGTTTTCAAAATTAAAAATACCTTTTCCCATGCTATATGTTCTGTTTTCGCAGTTTTAATAATGTTATTTTTATAAATGGGAATTCTTAATTTCAAAAGAATTAGAAACATTCTAGTTAACTTATCTTGGGTTTTTTTTTTTTTTAAAGAATCCAATTTTATTTTGATGTCTATTGTGGTTCGGATATGGACTGCTCCCCAAAGACTTAGGTTCTGGAGTCGTGGTCCCCAGTGTGGGGTGATACAGACACGGTAGAACCTTGAGGATGTGGGGCCTAGTGAAGGGTTATTAGGTCATGTGAAGCATTGCTGCTAGGAAGATGAATCAGTTCTTGCAAGAGTGAATGGTTATAAAATAGTAAGCCTGAACCTCAGATCCCTCTCTGGCTCCCTATCTCAGCATGGGATTTCTCATGTGTCCTGGAGCTCTCACTGAGCTGAACAGATGGAACAGATCCTGGTAACGTGTGCTTAACCTTTAGAAATGAGAACAAAATAAACCTGTTTTGTTGTTGGTCTTGCTGTTGTCATTTGTTTGTCTGTTTGTTTGTTTTTACAAAAAGTACAGAACCTCTAGGGTTTATCACTCTAGTTGGCAGCCTGAACTTGGGATGGCAAGGCCTAAAAATGTAGCAGACTAAAGTATCGTGCAGTAGCCAACTTTATTCAGAGCATCAGACAATTTATATTACAAGGGTTAAGAAGCGTTACCTGAGTAGTGTGTGTACAATCACAATGATGAGCTGCATGTGGCAAAAATATGCTTTTCCATAGAGGCACGTGAATAGCAACTGCTGAAGTAAACTCACTCCTGTTTGCTACATCAGGGAGGAACACAAAAACATTCCAAGAACAGTTCTTCTTTTTGAAGAAACTGCTGTCACAAGACTCTTGTTTTCTCACAAGTTCTCAGAATTCCCCTTGCAGGACTCCATTTCTGGCTGTGTTCTGACACTTGGGGCTTTGTCCTAGCAACAGGAACCAAACTAATACAATAGCCTATCCAGAAACCAGAACTGCAGGCTATGCTTCTGTTGTTGTTTTCAGTCTCATTTAGAAGCTGCTGCCACCTGTGGTAACACGCTGAACTCATTTTTTCCTTCCTTCTTCCTTCCTTCCTTCCTTCCTTCCTTCCTTCCTTCCTTCCTTCCTTCC